AACTATGACTACTCTCTTCATGGTGGGAACCTCAGTGGGACCTCTTGGAATCCACTAGAACTAGAAAAACCAAAACTATGGTGTTAATACAGAAATATAAACTAGAAGTGATTAGTGTTTTTATTTGATAGAAACACATAAAAGATGAAGGATAGTGGACAAAGTTGTTTTGGTGCATCTGTTAGATGGGTCAGAAGATCAGCAAATGGTTCAGCCAATACACTAGCCAAACAAGGGGCAAATAGGGGAGAGTTGTTTTGGGCTGAATTGTAATAGAATCTTTTGGGGGTTAGTCTTCATTATTATGGGGATTTTTTTATGAATAACACAAACTGATTTATTAGATTCATAAAGAGAGAGTACAAAAGTGATAAAGGGAGAGATAAACTCTCTTAACTCACCCAAATACAGACAACATAATTACAATACAGTCCAAAATAAATGATCCCTTCTCACCCCCCCCCCTTTGCTAATGCATCAGCAAATGAATTAGCATCCCTTTTCACCCATTGCACATTGATTTCCATTCCTTGAGACAACCACTTACTCCTTTTCTCATTTATATAGCACCACCATCCAGATCCAGCCTCCTCTTCCTTCTGCAACCACTTAATAACTAACTTTGAGTCCCCTTGAATAACTAGCCTCTGGATATTCAGCTCTCTAGCCCTTTGAAGACCTTCCAGCACAGCCATAATTTCAGCCCTCAAAGAATCACCAACACCAATCAATCCTGAGTAAACAACAACAATTCTTCCTTCCTCATTTCTAAAGATGCCCCCAATGCCTGAGGGACCCAGATTTCTTTCACTACTCCCATCAAAATTCAGTTTAATAATACCACATGGAGGAGGGGACCAAGTTGGTCTAACCACAACCTTGTTAGGAGCTGACTTAGCAACTACCTTCCAATTCCTCACCAAATCATCTACATGGACTCCCACAAAAAGATCAAGAGACTTCACCCAGTGGAACACTCTAATTATAATGACCTCAATTAGGGCATCCCTACTTCTCTCCTTATCAAGAAAGATCCCCTGATTCCTTTCTTCCCAAGCTGTCCAACACACATCTGCCCTTGTACATCTCCATAAAGATCTTTTTCTCTTCATCGGCCAGGTAACAAAGGTAGAGGCAAACAAGCTTCGTATGTTTGGCAGGGGGGGTTCCACCTACACCCAGACAAATAAAGAAACCATTCCCAAATTGAAGAGGTAAAGGGACAGGAGATTAATAAATGGCAGCAAGACTCACCATTAGCCTTACAAGAGAGCACCAATTTGCTCTTTTTCTTTGAAGTAAATTATAGGTGTTAATTCTCTCCAAAAAGGCTTCCTAACAAAAAGAACCCACACGAGGTAGGATAGGCTTGCTCCAAACCTTCCCAACAGGAAAAGGCATCCCTAGACTATCCCTTGGTTGAACTAAGGCTGAGAAGAAAGAGGCACAAGAAAATGAACTAGAAGAGGAGAGAGTCCAAATTCGACTATGCCTTTTAGTGGGATCTAGAAAAACCCCTTCCAACCTTTGGAGAAGAGACAAAATATCACTCACTTCCGACTCACGAAGTTCTCTCCTGAAACCCAAGTCCTAGTAAAAACTAGATGGCGAACCTGTTCAGGAATCCTAAACACCAAAATAAAATACATCAACAAATTGGCAAGTTAGACCTAATAAGCGTAATTCTTCCCCCCTAGAGATAGATAGCTCCTCTTCCATGATGCCAGCTTCTTTGTGAACCTTTCAACCACAGGATTCCAAAATTTGCTTGTTCTTGAATTGTTCCCCAACGGTAATCCCAAATAGGTTTACGGCCACTGAACCACCTCACAACCCAAAACCTAAGCATTTTTAGCAATCTTCATCCAAATTTAAGCCCACAAGGCAGCTTTTATCAAACTTAATTTTCAGATTAGACATCTACTAAAAAAACTTGAGCCGACGTCTTCAAATTCCTTACCCACCCAAGATTACTGCCTTCACAAAACAAAATAGTATCATCAGCAAACTACAAATGGGTAAGAGGCACCTCATTCCTACCTACCCTCCAACCCCTCACCAAATTCCTAATATCAGCCCAAGTCACAAGTCTACCAAACACATCAACTGTCAGAGTGAACATGAAAGGCAAAAGAGGATCCCCTTGTCTAAGACCTCTTACCGCTAGAAAGTGATACACCACAGATCCATTCACTAAAATCAAACAATGGCAAGTCTTAACACAGCCTAAGATCCATTTACACCATCTATCACCAAACCCAAAAATTCCTCATTGCCTCAAGAAAGAAACCCCAATCAACCAAATCAAAAGCCTTTTCCAGATCCAACTTTCATATGAAGCCCTTTTTTCTAGACCTACTCAGCTCCTCAACACTTTCATTGGCAATTAGAATTTGATCAATAATTGTAAAGTTTATTATGGGGACTTAACCCATTACCCATGTATTCTATTAACCTTTTTTAATGAAAGTTACTATTTCCTATAAAAAAAGTAAACAAAAATTTTTTGACCCCAAACAAAGAAGCAATGCTAATTTAGGAGAAATCAACAAAATTATACAAATACAAGTTTTTCAATAAAATCCATTCATAAATTCAGAATAGAAAAAAAAATGATGTGATTCAGAAGATTGTTTTTATTTAAAAAAAAAGTACAGTAAGTATAGTAATACACCACCCCTAAGGCCCTAACCTAGAAAAAGATCAGCAAAGAGCATAGCTTTCTATAGAACCTTCCAAAGGCTTAATACCCAACCTGGACAGATCATCAATTACCAAACTGAGCTTTCCTCAGATCCATCTAAACTAACTTGAATGGAAGGACAGATCTAGATAACTTTGTTGAGATAATGACCTAAACTACAAGGGCCTTTATCAATACCTTTTACACCATGAAATGGCATTAGACAAATCCCCATCAACTAATGGAATAAGTAAATTCCATTCCCCTTGAAATTATCAAAAAAAAAAATTCCATTCCCCTTGAGCTAAATCATACAAAAATAAGCAATTTATTGCAGTACTAATATAACCAGAAAGACATCCCAACAATGCCATTTTAATGATGGTTGGCTACTTGGCTCAAACATAATATTTACATCTCTTTACCAAGAAAAACCACCTGATGGGGAATTTCAGATTGGATCTAAAGTTTGGGTGTACCAATTATCCCATTTTAATGATAGTTAGGTCCAACATGATTTTTATATCTCTCTTTATCTAGCATAGTCACTTCATTGGGAATATTTTTTTTAGCAAAATAGAATTTTATGAGAAGGAAAAAAGAAAAAACAAGAAAAGTGACCAGAAGTCGCCCCAGAGAAGAAAAAACAACCCTTCGCCGACGACAAACCATACTCCAATCCCCCAACACTACAACCAAAATTGACAACAGCCAACCAAACCCATACAAATATCCAAACAAACAAACAAAAAAGATATTTTATTCTCCAACACCAATGAAAGACAACCTACCGAACTCGGGCTTCAAAACTCCAAACCCCCAACAAACAACAAAAGCCCAACAACAAGAAAACACTAAAGTCTAACTTAAACCTCACAAAAACTTTGCTCAAGCTCTGCTCAACTACTCAACAACTCCAGTCGCTTGAATAGGAACTTCTCTACTTATCTTAAAGACCTTTGATTTATTCACCTTCTTATTATGACCTTTGACTTAACAGTTTGATTTTTTTTACTTCTAAAATGTCTTACTGCATTGGGATTCTTCTCAAGAAAATGCGGATCCTAGAGCTCACATTGATCCTCTCTAACTCCAAAACCGCATTCTTCTCGAAGATTTGATCTGCAACCACCTCTCTACCCTCTTTATCAACATCCCCTGTCACTCCAAATGATCTCAGTCTACCCTGAGCATCCTCAACCCTAAAGTTAAAACCAACCTCCTCATTTTCTAATTTATTTTTTGCCCTACCCTTCGGAGGCCCACTGAAGGGTAGTAAATCTGTTGATATACTTGTCACGTCTTTTCAAATTGGATCTACTGCAATTTTGGGCATCCACTTTGTCATTGTGTAGGATGTCGAATTTCCCCTTATTTGGATTTTGAAATGGGACATAAGACTTTGGATAAATGAAATAATACTGAATGTGATAACTCAACATTTCTTGAGATAAATCAAGAATCATAACAAAAGATTTTATGGATTTCAAATGAGAGAAAGTGGAGTAGAAGATGTCCTTGGCATCCTGCTCCCAGCCCCTGAATTCAGAAACCTAAAGCCACTCTTGGATCTGAAGCATATAATGTGATTCTTGATTTCTAAGTATATGATGTCCAACCTCTAAATGCAAGGTACCAAAACTTTGATATATTCTAGTCCGTGTTTTCCAACTCCTTTTTTTTATTATTTATCGTGCTTTCCAACTCCTTGAGTCTTTGTATGGGTTCAGCAATCATGTAAGTCCCTCCTCAGTCCAATTCCCTGTTAAAATTGCAAACTGGTTTCTCATCTTCTATTTCATGTCACGGGCAACTAGAACATTCCATCTATTTTCTCTCATGGTTCCCCATCACAAAAATAAAATGGAAAAGGAGATCTCAATTATTTAGCGTTCGGGATTGGGATCCTCAAGAAGTTCATCCAAAAAATGGCATAATGAAATTGGAATGTTCTCTCAATAATGCAGTGAACATATCAAGAATCATATCAAAGAAAAAATTGCAGCTTCAATTATCAGAGAATTATGGAACACAATTCTAAAGCTCTGCAACCGTCAACAGAAATGTAGAGAACAGAAAAGCAGTTCTCCAGGCAGTATGCATCAACAGTAAAACAGAATAAGGTGGCCTTACTATTTCCGTAAACAATTAACATAACCTACTCTACCATCGAAAAACGACAAACAAAACAAGCATTAAAAGCCATAAAAAAGGGAGATGAAGCATCCAAACTGAAATCAATGCTACAAAAACCCTCGATTTACATCATAACCAGATAATTACACAAGACCTGAATTTAATTGGTAACGATAGTTACCAGTAAAAGGTTTGCGCTTGACGCAAGGGTCTAGCTGATTACACCATCGGAGCCTACACGACTTTCCGGACCTCCCAGCAATACCTCGGGCGATGAGGCTCCAATTCCTGGCGCCGAACTTGCTCACTAATCTACTAAGAATCGCGTCTTCTTCGGGAGACCAAGGCCCTTTAACTCGATCCTCCGACCCGCTCCGGACTCGGCTGCTGCTACAGTTTCCCTCTCCGACTACTCCAACGCCGCTACCGCTATCGGCACCATCACCACCAGTTCCACTGGCACTACCATCACCACCGCAACCGCCGTCGCCGGCGACTATTGCTTCTTCCTTTTTCATCTCTCTCTCTCTCTCTCTCCCCCACCGTACCTACCCGCCTAACTGCTATTGTTCCAGGGGACAGCTGAATTGTTTAATAGGGCAAGTGTTTCGGGATTCCTTTGCCAGTTTTCAGAAATACTTCTACCGGATTGACAAATACGTCCTTTTGTGAAATTACCAATTTTTCCTTGCAATGATTTTCCGGGAACTTCCGATGTTTCGGGCCTTTGGTTTCGAGACGAAAATTTTCAATTTTTACGATCTTCAGTGAATTTTTTGTTGTTTTATTAATACTATCCAAGTGAGAAGAACAAAAGAACACATTAAATAGGTAGTATTATTGGTCAAAAGTCAAAACTCTTTTATCATAGATTTTCCCATTTTATTGATATAAGCAAATTTATAAGTCAGCTATTTGAGTAAATGAAACAAATTAATTTAGTGTTATTTAGTTAATTTAACTTAATTAATTAAATATGGTAAATCAATTAATTATTAATATAATTAAATACTTAAATTATATTAATTACTCAAATTTTAAAATAAATAATTTTACAATTATAAATAATAACTTTAAAATAATTAATAAAATCTTAAAAAAATACATTTAACTAAGACATTTTAACAAGTGTATGATGTTATAGGGGTTGGGGGAGGGATGGGAGGGAGTGGTTGAATTCTTGCAAAGAGAGATTAAGATAGAAGAAGAAATGTTTTAAAATATTAGTTTACTTTTGTTCCATGGATTTCGATTGAAACATTAAAGGGGTGTAGATGAAAAGGCCTAGCTTGGCCTAAAAATTCTACACTTGGTCCCAAGTTTTGTGTTTAGACTTGGTCTAGGCTTGGCCCTACAAAGTTTTAGCCCAAGCTTTGGCCCAATAATTTAGTCCAACCTAATCTCACATTAGGCTCACAAATTTTCAAGTCAACCTTGGGCCCAACCAACCTAATCCCACCTAACTCAAAACTCAAGGCTTGGGCCTAGGTTTTTGGTTCAAGCCTGGCCTCGAGCTTGAGTGTGCATTAGGCCCACAAGTTTCCAAGTTGGGTTTGCTTCCAAATTTCAATCCCAACTTGGAGCTTCCCTAGATGAAACATAATTAGAAGACTTAATTAATTATATTGATTAAATAAAAAATATTTATTATCTTCTAAACAATATTAAACGTTTATCTAATACTTCAATCCCAACTTGGGTCTTGCCTATATGAAACATAATTAGAGGAGTTACTTAATTAATTATATTGATTAATTAGAAAAATATATTAAAAACATTTATTATCTTATAAATAATATTAAAAGTTCATGCAGAGAATGGTTGAAGACAAATGAAAATTTGAAAATAAATATAAATGAAAAATTAAAAGTAGTATTATAGTGGAACCGAATCAGACCCAATAGGGTCTGTAATTTTAGATTCAAAACTGAAATGATTAGGTTATCAGGTCAAACCCGATTATAATAAAACATATTGAAAATATATTATATAATATTAATTTATTTAATATATATAGCAGGGTCTATAAATTTAGATCCAGAACCAAACCGATCAGGTTCTTGGGTTTGAATTAATTCATGACTAGATGGAACTAACTTCGACTCGATAAGAATCAAGACAATATATCATGAACCAAAAACTGAACTGGCCCAACCAGTTTGGGTCCATCAGGTCCAACTCGACCTATTGACTAGGGATGCAAACAAATCAGATCAAATTCGAATTAGGGTATATTGAATCCAATATGACACTATTAATTGTAGATCCAATCCGATTCGATCGGATATGATAAAACATGGATCTAAATTCGAATTCGATAAGGAAGTGGGATTTTCAGATTTAATCTGATCTAATTTGATTTTTTTTAATTAATAAGTTATTAAAAGAAAATTAAAATATAACAATTTAAATAAAGAAAAACAAAATCTATAAGTATCTTTTCAACTATTTTCATCATATATACATGTTTTTTATAAAAAAACAAATAATATAACAAATTTACAAAAATGCAATATAAATAATATATTTATAAATAAATAAATAACATACATATCGAATCAAATAGGGGGTGATCTGATTTTTTATCAGATCCTATTACTCGATCCAATTCGATCAAAGATTTGAGATGGGGGCTATCAATCCAAGAATATAGGATTGGACTTCAGATCATGATTTGATCCATTTGCACCACTATCATTGATAGCCCTAGAGAGAGAAAGAGAGAGAGAGAGAGAGAGAGAAGGGGTAGGTCTGAACTAATTCGTGATTGGGTGGAATTGGCTCCAACCCGATAAGAATCAAGACAATATATTAGGAATTGAACCCAAATTGACCCAATTGGTTTGGGTCCATTAGGTCCAACTCAAATCATTGATTGCCCTATAGAGAAAGAGAGAGAGAGAGAGAGAGAAGGGGTAATAAATGAAAAGTATAAAGAGAGTAATAACAATTTTGTGACAATATTTTAATTACATTTTGATGGCACTTTTATAATTACATGAAAATCAATGTCATATACACAACTAAAATAGAGGCAATGATTGCTTTCAATGGCACTCTTATAATTAATAAAAAACTCAAGGTTATAAATAATTGCACATTTGTAATTAGTAAAAAATACAAAGAGATAAATAATGGCATTCTTATAATTAAAAAATGCTCATGAATATCACACCATGAGAGTTAAGAAAAATGGCGCTTCAGTAAGGTGAGATTGGTTTTTACAAATGCATTTCCCATTAAAACCAAGACCAAGATGAGTTCAATTCTAATGTGACATTGGGTTTTACATGTTGGTTTTTATATTTAAGTTTTCGTACACACTAGGCATGTGAAAATGAATGGAGAAGAGTCCAAAGATTTCATTTTGTGAATTTTCCAAGTTCCTTTCGTACACCATTTCCTTGTTAGTATATATATATATATAAATGTATTATATTTATATAATATTATATATATAGTAATTATAATACATTTATATAATATTTCTGAAATTGGCCCAAAATAAATTAGTCCATTATATTTTCATATATTATGTGTCTGATTGTATGCAAAACCAAAATTTTACAAATTTTCACTAACATTTGTCCAGTTGATTGGGGGATTTATCATTTATATTTTAATTTTATGTATTAAAATACTCAATTGCTTCAATTCATGATTATAAAAATGTTGAATGCTTAAAAAATGCTTTTATATAAGAGAGGCCTCAACATTATGGTTGATTGTACAAATTGTGAGACTCAATGGCAATTGCCCACTAGTTAACTAAAATAGGTCAACTATTTGAAGAATCCTATCTGGGTTCAAAACCCAAAGAATTGGATCAAAGACTGATTCCAATGAATAAGATCATGTTCAACTGTGGTGGAAGTAAGAACTACAATACAACGGTAAAATCTTGTTTATTAAAGCTGATATAATTAGGTTTTTCATTTATCAATGTTGCTTTAGTTCATTGATTACCAAAAAAAAGACAGAGAATGAGAAGAAAATCTCCGCAAAAGTCTCTATCATTCCGGCTATTGCATAATGTAACTACCAAGGAACCTCAACATCCGGATATGGGTTCAACGAGAGATGAACAACCTTTTGTGCATCCCCTTCAATAAGCAACTCATCAAAACCTAATTCTGAATCAAACTTGATTCCTTCTAGAAAAGCATGAGCTTCAACTAGGGGGGCACTAGTAAATCTGCAGATTGCACGTGCCATGCAAATTAAACTACAACTACCCTTGGTTATTACAAACAATGATCCCAACACCAGATTGGGTGGTATAGGAACTCCCGCCAACATTTATCTATAATGTTCTCATTCAAACCCAATCCGTTTGACCCGGAAAAATGTAATTTTCGAACCTGTCAATCCTATAGGGTTGAACCTGATGTTGACCCAACCAGATTCATAGCCTTTCCAATGGTCGTTTTTTATAACACATTTTCAAGTTAGAATTTTGTTTATAGGTTATAAGGTGTCATTTTCTCCATTACTTAAAAAGACAAATAAAAATAAATACAAAAAGAAATCTGAATCTTTTAAGGCTATGAAGTTAAAAGTCAACAAATTACAAATAACCAAGGGTAGTTGTAGTTACAGGGACTAGATTCCTACTCCTCGGCAGAGTTGTTTTCCCATTCCTATCCGTTAGGCGGGCTTATCCGTGAGGGGTGTAGCTGACGTGGTCGGCGGGATCATAGCAATGCCATAGCCCGGCCAGACTGTGCCGACGTGGACGAGCTGTGACAAGTGGCCAAGGGCCTCATGGCCAGCTCAGCCATGTCCCCAACACCACTCACCCAGTTCCGAAGCCAAGGGATGAGGTTTCCTAGGTTCGTTGCCCGGTTGAGGAACTTCTAAGCATGCGTGTCATCCACGTCGTGTTGGTCGTTGCCGAGGAGTCCTCCGATCGTCGACTGCAGAACTTAAATAAGAACCAAAATTTTGGTTCCCGAACCACTCCCCCAGTTCTGCTGTCGAGGAGGAGGAGTGCTCGACCAGACTACTGTGTGGCCTTGTGGCCGTAAGCTGCCTAGCCCGAGGATTTGAGTGGCCAGGCCGAGGATCTGAGTTGAAGGCTGGACCGGTACTGAGGGTCTTCGTGTCGAAGGTTGGACCGGTACTATAGTTGAACCGGCGCAATTAATGGGCGCAACCGCTGCCTACCGAGGGTGTCGCATCGGTTTCTGAGGCTTCCTATCGTACGTTATTGGTCGCGTCGATTGGCCTTCCGAGGCGTTGTTAGGGGTGCTTCATCTGCACCATTGATCTCTCCTCGGTTTGTGCCCCTGATGGTTATAAAAGGGAAGAGGGGGGCCCCCCTATCCTCAGTATTGCTTGCAAGAGAGTTTGGCATCCACTGCTTGGCAGATTCGTTGGTCACACAGTTCGGCAAATAGCTCGGTAGACAGCTCAACGGATAGCTCGGTAGCTTTCGCTCTTCAGCTCTGCAAATTGTCTGGTATGTCCTCTTCATCTCATCAGTCCTCTAGTAGTTTTGGTTCCAACTCTTCTCGCGGCTCAACCTACGAGCCCGAGCTGAGAGACTTCGTGGCTGCCAAAATTGAGGAAGCCGAGATTGGTCCCTCCGGGATG